AGGCCGAGAATAGCCAGTTGGAGGATAGCGCAAACAAGATAGCGCTCCTCCTCTCGCATCTCACGGATCTCCTGGCAACCTGCATTACACAGCAGGCGGAGATCCTTGCTCTCGACAACTCGGTAGCTCATCTCCAAGACCGCCTTCAGCGGGTGGAGCAGCGACCAGTCGCCGCCGCCGATGCAGGCTCTTCCAACACTGCCGACCGCCTCACCGCGTTGGAGATGCACGTCGGCTTCCTCCATGATGGCGCACAGTTACAGCAGACCGCGACDCAACAATTGCAGCAGCGGATCTGCACTACAGCCACCACCTCGAGTCCGGAGCCGCGCGAGACAACTCCTAAGTTCGATGGGCAGGAGATCTTCCACGACTMAATCAAGACAGATCCGATTCCATGGTTTCGCAAGTTTGAACTCACGCTGCAGCTCCACAACGTCAAGGAAAACAAGCACCACGCCTACTTGTACTCTCGCTCAGGGGGCGCGTGTCAGGCGTGGTTGGGTAACTTGTTGTCCAAGTACGGAGTGGTCGCAGCGGACTTGCACACCAVGATCAGCTGGGATGATCTGAAGGCAGCATGGCACAAGCGGTTCCAGGTGGAGCCGCCAGAGATCAAGGYCATGGACAAGCTTATGGTTTTCGAGCAAGGCTCGCTGCCGAGTACGGACTGGATCGCCGAGTACCAACGCTTGACGTCAGTCCCAGACATCCAGATGGGCTTCAAGGCCATCCGCCACTATTTCATCTCAAGGTCATGTCCGGCATTGAGCAATGCCCTVACGCATGTCGAGGACACCTTGACGACGACGGCGGAACTATTCGACAAGGTTGCGCAGATCATCGTTACGAACAAGGAGGCCAAAAACCTCCGTTCATCTGCGTCAGGCCCGAGCAGGGACCAGCATCGGCCAAGAGTGGCCGTGGTCGCAGCGGCAGCGCCGTTAGACCAATCCAGCGAGGCTGCGTCTGCCAGTGAAGGGGACAGATTCGCAGCCGCCSGGGAAGGTGGCCGCCCCGGCAGAGGCCGAGGTCGCGGCAAGCCGAAGACACACACCGTTTCTAACCCCCCGCCCGGTGCAGCAGCTCAGACAGGCCCATGGACCCCGTACGGCATCTCCGAGTCCGCCTACAAGGCGCCTACAAGGCGCGCAAGAGATTCTACTATTGCCTTTGGTGCAACAACGATCTTCATCAGACGCAGGTTTGCCCATTGAAAGGCAAGGGTCGACAGGGAAACTGAGCACCGCCGAGAGTGATGCGACGACACTCTCGACGCCTTCGGAACTGGTTTCTTCGCGAGTGACCAGCCTTCATTCCGAGGCGCACGCGGAAGTCGACAGTCCTCCGCTCCTACTTTCTTTCGAGGACTATACTGCCCGGCTCGTTTCAACGCTGGGTACTCAAGCTCAAGGACAAGGAGTGTGTGCGGTTTCTTCTCCGTCCGGCAACAGCGACATATCGTCTTCAAGTGGTTCGTCACGGGATTCGGCGCGCGAGTTCAATATAGAGGCATTGGACCCGCTCACTTCTGAGGACTTTGCATGGCTTCCTCTTCCGACCACAGGCTGTTTGCCGAGACCGCAATGCGCAACACTTAGCGCTCATCTCCACACTTACCTTTCCTTCTATGCACCACCAACTTCGCCGACGGATGACGAAGTCGCGGTGGGGGACATCCTGGCGTACGTTACCAAGGTGACCCGTGAGTTTCGCACACAGCGGTACGATAACAACAATGCACTGCTCATGTATGTCCGCATCCAGGTTGGGCAAGCGTCCTGCAGCGCTTTGCTGGATAGCGGCGCGACTCGCAACTTCATGAGCCAGTCTTTTATGCAAAGAGTTGGCCTTGGCGCACAAGTTCGGAGAAAGGCAAACCCGACGGCGATCAAGTTGGCGGATGGAAAGACGCAGCAACT